GTACATGCAAAACTGCAAGCCTGAACTAGATTACTCAGTCCTATCTGCTCTCTTTCCCAGAGAGATAGGCCAGTGGGCCCAGGCAAAAGAAAATGGTTTACTTTCACCTTCATTTACTACGTGTTAATTTGGAGAGTGTGGGAAGTTGCTGTGCACACGTGCTCCGAAGTTTTAACGCCAAAAAGAAGAGGTGGCTTACGCACTGTCACAACCGTTTAGCTGGGTTCTTCCAAGGGCAGCAGCCATCGACAGTGACCATTAACCGGAAGAAAGGGGGGAAAAAACCAGAAATGTCTCGCAAACCAACCAGAAGGTGAGAAAGCGACACGCCGAAATGTCTCCTGCATATTCCGAAGCGCGGCGGCGAACGTCGGAGTCACATCCAACAACCCCCCACCCCGCCTGCCTCCTGTCACTTCTGCCACGGCACATTCGGAGCAGCAGGACTCCCGAAGCGAAGCGTATGGGAAGCATCAGGCGTTAAGAGAGGTAGCCAATCCCAGAGCTCAGCACCCCTACGCCTGTCGAAGTAATTGGGTTCGCTCGGGGGAACGGAGGGGGAGGGAGGGGAGAGGACGTGTGGTGCAAGGCAGCGGTACACTCCAGCCAAACAAACCAAGCCTTATCTGCCATGGCGCAGTCAATGGATAGGACGGAAAGCTAAAGTCTCACCAGCCCGGGGACGGGGGGGGGGCAGTTTCTCTCCCTTCCGCTATTTTTTAAGAGACGTTACTCCGCCGTCCTTGGAGCCCCAAAGACAACCCACTTCCCCCCCGGGGGCTTCAGGACACGGGCAAGCAGAGAAAAGGAATCGTAACTGCGCAACTACTCCAGAATCGGCGCGGATTAAAAAAAAACCGCAGGCTTTACCAGCTAGCTTTTCGACTCGAGAGGAAGGCGAAAGGCTGCTAGAGAAAAGCGAGAGATCCAGCAGTCGGAGAGTGGGAATAGCGCCGCCGAGGGCGAGCGCAGCAAAAGGAGAGAGAACCAACACTCACCGGTGCCCAGCAGCACCCACCACATGCATAGCATCCACATGTCCAGGCTGGCGCAAAGGAGGGCAATCCGCTTTCTGCCGTGACGATTCTCCCACAGGCCAAGGGAAAGAGAGGCGGGGGGGGGATATTAGATCCGGAGCGCGGACCCAGAGCCGCCCAGCCCGCAGCTTGTCAAGCTTCGACGGTTCCCTCCAGCCGCAGCAAGCGGGGCGGAGCCACACCCGGCTTTCGCTTTCGCTCCCCGCAGCAGGAGGGGAGACGGAGGCGTAGGTGGAAGGAGAGCAGCCCCCTCCGTAGCCTGGTGTCGGACTGCTGCTGCGCGTTACAACTTGGAAGCAGGTGGGCTTTCTTTCACGAAGAGCTGAAGAAGACCTCCAGGTGCTTTCCGGCTTCGTGCGGGGCGAACCCAGGGAGAAGCTTCGGCGATCCTCGAGAATCGCTTCACCCTTTCAGAGACCTTGAAATCGCCCACCGAAAGTTTCAAACCTGGCGAGCCGACGTTTTCGGCTGCTCCCGGGTCTTCTGGCGACGCAGGAATTGCGCAGACTTGGAAATGAACGCCGGGCTCTTGGCGTGACAAAGGAGGAACTCTGCGTCACACTGAAGCTTGCGAT